ATTTAATTTCTTTTCTATAATTACAGTACTCTGACCTCTGTAATTATTTTTTGTCAGATTCATAATTTATTCTCCTCATTTTTATCTTCCCAAAATGCCCTCTTTGTCTCAAAATTAAATTCCCAATAATTAAATAAAAAGAAAACTAATTTCCTTCTCTTTGTTGATTTTTCCATTTTTCAATGGAATTAGGAAAAATATTGAATATTTGAGGGTGTTCTTTTAATTCCATAATCTCTTATAATTTCTTGGGGTATCATAGAAATTTTTTTGGAATTTTATTCTCCTTAAAAATATTTATTTGGAATTTTCCAAATAAAATCCCTTAAATTGGCCTAAATTAACCTTAAATTTCTTTGTAATTTCTCTAAGGGTAATTTAATTATAAAACCAATTATATAATCTCATATAATTCTCAATGGATTTTATCCTTATTTTTTCTTAATTTTCTAAGGTTTGAAAATATTTTTCCATAATTATTTTTGACCAATTTTTCTTAATTAGTCAAATTTTCATAATTGACTTGGAAAATCATAATAATTATTTTCCACCACAATTCTTCTATTTCTCCTTATCATTTTTGGCCCTTAATTATTGAAGAATATTTCTTATTCCTAATTACCCTATTGCCGAATATGACAAAAAGTTAACTTTTTTTTTAAAAAAATATAGTAATAATTTATTATTATATTTTATATTATTTCATTTTACTTTTACATTTCTTTTTTATGAAATAATAATAATTTAATTTTTTTATAAATTTAAAATAAAATTTAGGATGTTACACCTTCATCTACCACACACATAAGCTTCAACGAAAAACTTCTGTGTCTAACTGACAACTTTAATACTACACTACAAGTAGAACAAGTCAAATTGAATGAAGGAAAGATTGTAAGAGAATTGTACAAGAGAACAAGAATATACAGAAAGAATATTCTCAAGCGGTCATTCATTGCAAACATTCTCTAAAAGATTTATTGAGCTTTAATGTTTAGCAATTACTCTGTCAAGAGAGAGAAGCACTTCGGTGTTTAGAATTTTCATTTATTCCTTAGAATCATGGGGTTCTGTATGGAATATACTCTTACAACTTACAAAGGGGAGTAACTGCCTCTAGTGTAGAGGTGTTGCCTCAGATGTTGAGGATTTTTTATGTACTATGGCACTAAGAGTCCACTGAATCTTAGGGATTATAGTTGAAAATCTTAGAGGTGTTCTGGGCACCGAACATAGGTCAAGTGGAAGACTAAACTGGGATAAATCACTGTATTCATTTTCTCTTACTCTTTGTTTAAACATAGGCGATATCTTCTCCACTCTACTCCATTTATATTAGTTGTGTTTGATAGTTTTATTATTTGTAAAAAAATTTTATAACACCAAACTTAGCCCTCCTCTAGGCTGTTTAGCCATTCCAACAAATTCCATAACTATCACATTCTTTAAAATTGTACTAAAGTGATTCAAACTTTTTGGCTTAATGCTTTGTGGGATAAGGACTATTGAGAGGACACAGGACTGTGATTTGAGGCCGCTAAAACTAAAATGTGTACATGAGAGGCAGGGAAAGGTTGAAGCCATGCATTATTACAAGAAGCTTTATCCATCCTTTCCATTATAATATCTAAACCATTCTAATTATTTGTCTAACTGAATGCAGGGCTATGTTGAGAAATATTGACCAAGTTTATCGCCTCAACACTCTACATAAAGCTTATCATACCACAGGAGGACCCATTCTTACTCATCTTCTGAAGAGAAAATCCCCTTAAAATCATCAAGTAACCAATGAAGGTTAATGTGAGCAGAGGTTATTTAAATCTATCACCGCATAATATGTGTTAAAAAAAAAACAAGTATATGAAAAATTGTATACAAAGGAAAGATAATTTGAAGAATGCATTTCATTATTAAGATTTTAAAGTGATAGCCAAGAGGGGGGGGGGAAGCAACCTCAATGAGATTCTTCCAAGCAATTAATGTTCCACCTTCTTTCCAAATGCATCAATACTCGTGAAATTATGAAAACCTAACGATAAATGGGTTTCATAAGCTAGACTTCAAAAAGAAAGAGAGCATAAAGTCTTTAAACTCATTTTGACCAAAAAAAAAAAAGGTTTCTAAGGAGAATCTCTTTTGTCTCTTATTAATAAATATTCTAGTCTTAGTTCATAAACTAGACTTTTTAACATGCAGAAGGACAACAAAATAAAATGCACCAGTTATAGTACAAGTGGTTCTCAACATTTTCCTTGGATATGAGCTAATTGCACTGGCTGAATCAGATCCAAGGAAAACCTTCCTATACCCCGCATTCCAAGCTAGCTTAAGTCCATGCAAACATGCATGTCTAAATTTCTGTTACTAGTACAGGCTCCTTATGAATTTGATGAATGAAGCTTTTAATGAACTCACATGCTATATGTTCCAAAGAACACTACCACAAGCATTCGAATCCATGGAGTAAGAGTATCGGTTTTCTATATTTATTACTTCTATCCATCCTTCTTCAAGTGGGGTCTATCCCTTCAAGGCAGCGGCAAGTTGCACACCAGCTAAGGTCTTCTGCTAATCATTCTTGTGCCTCTCTCGTACTATCTACCAGAGCTCAGGCGTTTAGAATGAGTGCTTCATTTTGCACTTTCTTCCCCTCAAAAACAAAGAGGTTATGTTTAAGACAAAGCCACCAGCAAATAATGGTAAAGCGGCTCCCCAGTCAGTAGTATTCATGCTTGATGCTTTCACGTTCCACAATATCCGATCAGAAGATAATTGGAAGTAGAATCTTTGCCCTTTTGCAAGGCACACTAGTTTCTTCCACAGAAATTTGGATGGCGACATTCACAAAACACATGTTTCATGTGGTCAGCTTCCTTCCCACATATAGGACACCTGTCATTGTTAATGAGTCCATGTCCGCATCTTGCGGTATTAGTGAGGAGGCATTTATATGAAGCAACCTAGACAAGGGTCTTGCATCGTTGCAAGGCCCTTATCTTCCAAATTTTCTTCCGCCTAATGTAGGCTTCAATATCCCCATTCAAGAGAACCTCATAAGCTTATTTTATCGAAAAATTGTCAATCCGACCCCACTTTCATCTGACAGTGTATGTACTGGTATGGCAAACAATGCCATCTTGAACTTAACCCATGTCTTTTTTTTAATACCTATTTAAAACCATTCTTATACATATCAATTTGAGGAATCAAATCCTCCTCATATCTATAATTATCTTGAACAACTTTCACCCAAAAGTCATCATGTTGCTTCGCCATTTTCCATCCCACCTTTACAAGGAAAGAGTGGTTTTAAAGTTTAGCATGTCTCAGTCTAAGCGCACATTCTTCTTTGACTTGCGGGCTTGATCCCAAGCAACAAGTGAAATTTTCTGCGGGTTCTCTGTGTTGCCCCAAAGAAAGCTTTTATTTCGCTTCTCTGGTAACTCACACAGCCTTATAGGAAATAAGGAAGTACGCCCTTAAGAGACAAATTTGTTTTCCAATTAGATAGTCGCAGGTTCACTTTATCAATCACCCTCTAAAACGTCTCTTTACTGACTCGCTTGTGACGAGGGGAACTGCAAGATACTTGCCCAAGTTCGTCATTGGAGTAAAACCATAGAGGGCACTAATCTCCATATACCTATTATGATTAACATTAGTAGGAAAAAAACACAATTTACCTTGAGTCTTGAATAGCTACTGGAATGATCCAAACACTTTTGAATTAATTCCACTCGTTGTATTGACACTTCAGCGGATAAGATGATATCATGGCCTCGTGGGAAATGAGTGGGCCATGCTTTCTGAGCCTTATTGGTTACTACTCTTTTGATTTTAGTTCTTTCCTGGATAACATGAGTCAGTTTCTCTGCGTATATAACAAGTAAATAGGGAGACGCACACCTCTAGAAGAGCAAAGACAAGTTGTTCAAGGATAATTTTTGTGAAAATAAAAGAAATTATTATTTATATTTTCAATATGTACGGGGGAGCACATTCTGAAATAAAGCAAGTTGTTTTTTTTTTTTTGACCAGAAATAAAACAAGTTGTTCAAACACTATGGAAGAAACAAATTCTAAAACAAAAGATATGTTTTAAGTTTCTAAAGACATTTTGGTAAAATAAAACAAAGTTTGTAAACAATGCACCTATCTTATTCACAAGTCTTTTTCTAGCTTTAGGGAATAAATTAAGAAATATAAATAATATACTAATCTTTTGTTGAAAATTAATATGTTCTGCACTAGCATTTAATATTGTACGGGATATTAAAATTCGTACGGATAAGGTGCAGTAAATTAAAAACGCATTTAATATTGTCTAAAATTTTTACAAGGACAAGTAAATGGAATATTTAAAAGAATAAAGAAAGAAAGAAAGAACTTTGCAAAGAAATAGAAGAGGGGGTAGTTTCAAGGAAAATATTCATAGAATATCCCGGCAATATGAAATGTTTTTTTGGTAGCCAAACACCAGTAAAATTAGGCATTCTTGAATACCAAGTACTCAAATTAGTCAATGACTCTTGATATGGAAATTGGATCACGTTGAAGGAGTACTTTTTATTTTATTTATATTTTTTATATACTTTATTTATAGTTTTAATCATTCTATTAATATATTAACATATATATCATATAACCGGTGAAGCAAACCTTCAGCCAATCTCAACTTCATCTCCAAATAAAAAAAAAAGCTAACCCTAAACAAAACTTTTAAGGTTCAAACCTTCCGAATGAGATGTGCAACACCCCAAAAAAATAATAATAACGTTGAAGATGAATTACACAAAGCACTCAAATGCAAAATTATACAATGAAATCCAAATAATTTGCCATGGAAGCAACTCAAGATGAGAAGAACCAAGCCATAGAAGACTCTAACGTGCAATCTTGAAGCTTGGAGACGAGAGTGACAGCAAGCAAGATAATGCTACAACTATAATCAAATTTGAAACTGCAGAAGAGAGTCTGAGTTTTGATATGCTTATTTATGGTCGAATGATGAAGATATCTACTCATCAAAACTATAACATAAAAAAGAATATGGTCTTCCATAGCTAGGATGAAAATCAGGTATAAAATATTGTATCTGACATTTCTCTACTGCCTCCATAGCATGATTTGAAGATGGGAACTATATTATGCTGACTACCCCAGAATTTCTGAGACTTACATAAACAAGACTAGTACTGTAGAATACTTGTAGAAACAGCATAAGAACCTCCTACCACATTAGTACAAGTCATTTTAGATGGCCAAATACATCATAGGCTGCTAAGTCTTCTTCAGTGCAAATCCTCACCTCCATTATAACAAGTTACCACAACAGTCTCAATCACCGGTGGTGATTTTGAGGTTATTTAGTGAGTCAGAAACCACATTGCCGTTCCCAAACTTGTTTAACTCGGATTCTATAGTCTTGGCAATCTCACATTCTTCGGCTTTAGGCTCAGGAAAATCCACATGAAAGGATCCCTGCTTGATGGGTTCACCAGCTTCATGAAGTCTGGATTGCTGCCTGATGTAATTGTAGAGCTCTTGGTGGAAGGGATGATCCAAGGAATAGCAGTTTTCACTTCCACTCTCTGAATGTCTAGATGAACCAGACCCTTCTTTTCTACAGAAATGTGGCAAACTTGCGTAATCCATGATCTACAAACCAATTTGTGATGGTTAAATTCAACTAAACAAGGGTAGGGAAGATAAAAATTTAAGACAATTTCATAATGAATATATGCACTTTCAGAAGAATGACTTCTAAAACAAACAACGCGCACACCAATTTACTACAAAGCACAACTTTGTCAGAAGTGAGGTCATAATTGCTATGTTTCATTTAACCTTGTGGACAAGAGCTTCACTGTCTCAGCCAAGAGTTGAATGCAAAAACGAAAAACTTGGCATCTTCGTTGACATGTCCTATTGACTTTCATGGACTCGTCACTTTGTGAATGGTTGAATTAATTATGTAAAACATTCACTTTAAACTGTGAGTTTAGTCTATTTTTATTGATTGATGATTCAATCAATAAACTAAACAAGGGTTTGTTCAAATAAATTTCTGACAGATGTTTGTCGATTCCCCACACACATTCATCGGCATATGCACTCACACCTCCACACACATACATATAGATAGAAAGATAAACGGATAGAGAAAGATGAGAAGAGGACGAGGGTAATAAACACTGGCATCAGACATGTCAGATGACTGGTCTTGCTTTCCCTATGAGGTAACCTGTCAGATTTTTTTCCCATATTCTTACCTTTGCTTTCGTTGTTATATTCTCCATTAGAATTTATTCCATTAGGAAAACTTCGAAAGGAAAAAGACACCTTACCTTCAACAGTTCATCTCGCCCACTACCTGGCAAGACCTGCACCTTTTTCCTCGTTCTCTCCTGTAGAAGTGGCTTCACAACCTGTTAATGCCAAGTGATTAACATAAAGCTGAGGTCTAACTCCCAATAGGTATCTCATATCAGAAACCATGCCATAATGACCAACATATTATTTTACCTTCCAGCAGGCTGAAAATATGTATGGGGCATTCACAATGTAATAAGTATTTGTCTTCTCAGGATAGTTGAGATCATCAATGGATGATATAATTGTTAACAACTGCAAATACATGAAAGACAACTCAGTGCAGAGGAAATATTAGAAAAAAAAGCAAATGGAAAAAATTAGTAAGATTCTTTGTTTTATATATGCCTTTTGGTCAGGCAATAATAGTAGTTGTTTCGACTAAACAAAGAACTAAAGGTAACATCACAGTGGGGAAGGGGGAAAGGTAACGTTATATATACCAAGTATGGAGGCAGTGGCAATTTTTATAATTTTAGGTCTAAGTTGACTTAATTCTAAACAAGCAACTAACTTGATACACAATTTATCTAGGATAAGTCAATGGTGGTAAGGCTGGTCCAAGTTGTTGGACGAACTGGAAGGTACCTTAATTTGATTCAGGGCTGACAGCTTCAGTCCAGTCATATCCAAGACCTTCACACATGTGGTGATAGGTCGCCCATGCTTCTTTGATGTAGTAGGCTGCATAGCCATATAAGGGTCAAAATATAAGCACAAAGGCTCAACTTATAACTCGTTATTGAAGAAGGCTCAAAACACATACTCACCAATATTACACGGTCACGATATTCATTTACTTGAATGTGAGACTGCACATAATAATGGACCTGCACAAACAAAAAAATAATACAGGACATTAGAACGCCTAGCATTATGGTAGAACTAATACTGCACCAAACAAAAGCAGGGTTCCTTTCTTTTTCTTAATCATTAAACTTACAGATGCTTTGTCAAACGTACTAAGGCCAACTCCAATAGCAAAGACAGGCAGGCCCTGGAAAGCGTGGAAGGCAGATAAGATATAGAGTTTGAAAACAAAGCTCCACAAAAGTCATAATTTTGACTGATTTTGATGAAGAATATGCATGACTGTGACATAGGTTTTGATCTTTCGCAAGCAAGGATAGCACACAAGACAACATCTAATATATTTGAAAAATTAAAATTTAAATCACCTCTCTTGAGTATCCAGACAATCCAATTAGTTGTGAATCCCGCACAGCTCTGTACAAATCAGGAGGAACTATGGGTTTCTGGAAATAGAAAGACCAACCAGCATGAGCATGTACTGAGTAGTTTTCACAATAGATATAAATGTTAACATGATTTAGCTAATATATATCAAATAGAATAGAATCAACGCCTGAAAACAACAAATCCACAAAGTCAAATGCAAGTTTGCCTGGCTAATGGCCAGGACCACATCACCACAATTATGATTAACCCTTCTTTCTGTTCCTTCAATGCACACATCCACACCTACAAACTACACACACACGCATGCACACACAGAATCACAAGTTTCAGACTCAAGAAATGTCTAAATTCTGAATATTTCACTCCATTGTATTATTCCATATGAGATGATTACAATATATATAGGGTCCGGATGGTGATAATAATCCGGTTAGAATCATTCAGCAATAACTACAATTAATGACAGCATACAATCAGGGATATTATTCTCATGCATAATGATAGGCGGGTATCATGGGCTTTCTAACACTCCCCCTCAAGCTGGAGAGTAGATGTCAACCATCCCCAGCTTGCTTCGAAGCCCTTCAAACTTGACTCTGGCTAAAGGTTTGGTCATGATGTCAGCAATCTGATCAATCGAACGCACATAGCTTAAGCTGATGATACCACCTTCTACCTTTTCTTTGATAAAGTGCCGATCAATATCGACATGTTTTGTTCGGTCATGATACACTGGATTCTTTGTCATTTCAATACTAGCTTGGTTGTCACACCAGAGGTTTACTGGCCCTTCATAGGGAATTCTCAATTCCTTCAGGAGTCTAATCACCCACATTCCTTCACACACCCCTAGAGCTACAGCTCTTAGTTCAGCTTCAGCACTGCTTCTTGAGACTACGGTCTGTTTCTTGCTTCGCCAAGTCACAAGGTTTCCCCAAACATAGGTGCAGTAACCTGTGACAGATCTCCTGTTATCTACAGCTCTCCCATGGTCTGCATCAGTATAGACTTCTATGTTTCTTGTATTCCCCCTTTTAAAGAATATTCCCCTTCCAGGATTGAGTTGAGAGATCGAAGCTTCATCATCACCAGTTATGACTATATCATTCACATACACAATTAGGATCGTTACCTTTCCATCATTGTGTTTGACAAAAAAGAGTGTGATCAGCTTGTCCTTGGTTGTAACCAAACCTTTTGATTGCTTTGGCAAACCTATCAAACCATGCCCGTGGAGACTGTTTCAGGCCATATAATGACTTCTTCAGTTTGCAAACTGAATTAGGTGGAGCTATTACTCCATCTGGAACTTCCATGTATACTTCCTCCTCTAAGTCTCCATTTAGGAAAGCATTCTTTACATCCAGTTGATGTAGGGACCAGTCAAGATTAGCAGCTAGGGATAAGAGTACTTAGATGGTATTGAACTTTGCCACGGGAGCAAACGTTTCTTGATAATCAATCCCATAAGTTTGAGTGTACCTTTTTGCAACTAATCTCCCTTTGTACTTGTTGATGCTTCCGTCAGGGTTGAATTTTGGTGTGAAGATCCACCTGCAACCCACTGCTTTCTTGTCCTTAGGAAGTGTGGTTATATCCCACGTGTTATTCTCCTTCAGGGCTTTCAACTCTTCATATGCTGCATGTTTCCAGTTAGGATCTTTCATGGCCTGTTGAAATGTTTCTGGAATTTTCACCTGTGAGCTATTCACCACAAAGGTTTGCATTCTAGCAGATAGATTGCCATAAGAGACAAATCGTTGTATAGGATGCTGAGTACAAGACCTTACCCCCTTTCTAAGTACAATAGGCCATCCTAGTTCTTCAGGATCCAACTCCGGATTGGAATCATGTTGCTGCCTTGGAATGGAAGGAACCCCACTACTACTGTCTTGTTCACTTGATTGAGATCTTGAGTGCTCTGTCACCCCTGCATCAATTTCAGCATTCGTTTCCATTGTGTGAGTATTGTTTGTGGGGGTTTTGGGCTGTTTGGTTGAGGTGTAGGCTTAGGGGTTTCCGGTTCAGGTTCAGGGATTTCTTCGTGCGGTGTATAGAGTTCTGGAGGATTAGGAGGTGCGTTGGTCTCAGGTTCAGGGGTAATTAGCCATTCTACTCCACAATTCTCCCCCTGAATGGGTAATTTGGGATAGTATGCATCATCTTCATAGAAAACTGTGTCTTTGGAGATTATGAGTTTTCTGGTAGAGGGACAGTAACACTTATAGCCTTTGTGGGTTGAGGAATACCCAAGGAAAAGACATTTTTCGGCTCTAGCACCTAGTTTTTCCCCGTCATGTTTATGGACAAAGACAACACACCCAAAGACCTTTTGTGGAATGGTATTGATGATAGGTGAGGCGGGGTAGGTCTCAAGGAGTTTTTGAATAGGGGTTTGGAAGTTGAGAACTTTGGAGGCCATTCGGTTAATGAGATAGGCCGCAGTGAGCACTGCATCTCCCCAAAATAGGCTCGGAACATTTCTTTCCATCATAATAGCTCGGGTTACTTCCAAAAGGTGCCTATTTTTCCACTCGGCAACGCCATTTTGTTGTGGGGTATAGACACACGAGGTTTGGTGATGGATTCCCTGTTGCTCAAGAAATTCCCTAAAGGCTCCACTCACATACTCTTTGGCATTGTCACTCCTCAGTACTTTGATGGGAGTCTGGAATTGGGTTTTCACAAAGGAGTAAAAGTTTTTGAAAATTTGTAAGGCTTCGGATTTCTCTTTCATAAGATAAACCCATGTAACCCGTGTATGATCATCGATGAATGTGATAAACCACCTTGTGCCTGTTCGGGTTTTGGTTCTGGCAGGTCCCCAAATATCGGTGTGGATCAATGTAAAAGGGTTAGTGGGTTTGTAAATATGCTTGGGAAAAGATGTGCGAGTTTGTTTGGCAATTTGACAAGTTTCACATTGGAAAGGAGAAGAATTTTTATTGAATAATGTTGGAAACACATGCTTCATATAATCAAAACTGGGGTGGCCTAATCTTTGATGCCACAACATTACATTTTTATTTCGAGAATTGGAGCTAACCATAGCCTTCCTTGCTCCTTTTGTCTTCATGTACTTTCCTTCAAAGTAGTAGAGTCCATCCCATTCCTTAGCAGTCAAAATTTTCCTCCCCGAGATTGAATCCTGAAAAACACAGTTAACATCATCAAAGATCACCCGACATACTTGTCCTTTAGTCAGTTTGCTTACAGATATAAGATTGCAAGTGAGAGCAGGAACAAACAAAACATTATGAATTTCCAAATCATCAGAGAGGGCCACAGTGCCAACACCCTCAACTTTAGTATATAGTCCAGTTGCCACTTTTACTCGGAGGTTCTCATGGCAATATTTGAGAGTTTTGAAGAGGGATTTATTACCAGTCATGTGGTCTGTAGCACCAGAGTCAACAATCCATGTCTCATCACTAGTGACCATTGCATTAAGAGCAATAATAGAATTACCTGACTGAATCAAGTTTACGTTGGGAACCTTTTTTGATGAGTTTTGCCTTTCAAGCATCTTTCAGAGCAGTTGAAGTTCTTCTTTGGTTAAGCGATCTCCATCATCGCCTCTTTCCTCAGAGGAGGTGTGGTGGCTTTTTCCATCTCGACGCTGTTGCTGTTTCCCATGGGTTGGCTTTCCATGTAGTTTCCAGCATTCATCTCTGGTGTGACCTTTCTTGTTACAGTGATTGCACCATTTGTTCCCTTTTCTTTCAGAACTCTCTGATGTCTGGGGTCCCCTTGTGACTAAAGCTGAGCCATCAACTGGGGTTTGGTTACCCTGGGTGAGGTGTCTCCAACTTTCTTCGAACTTAACCATACTGAAGACTTCAAATAGGGATGGAAGGGGCTTTAGACCCATAATTCTGCCTCTTACTTCTTCAAAAGCATCATTCAGGCCCAACAGAAAATCATATGTTCGTCCCTTTTCAACTAGCTGTCTGTAGTAATTAGCATCATCAATATTCTTCCAAGGATGCACTTCAAAGAGATCCAATTGCTGCCATATCTTTGTCAAAGTACTGTAATATTGTGTTACAGTCAAGCTTCCTTGCTTCAGTTCTTTGAGTTGCCTCCTTAGGTCCAACAACGCAGCAGTGTTGTCCAATGTAGAGTAAGTGCGCTTAGCAGCATCCCAAATCTCCTTGGCTGTGCTTGCAAGAAGGTATCCCTCACTGATTTCGAGAGTCATTGAGTTACATAGCCAAGACATCACCTGATTATTTTCAGCGAACCAGGTGTCAAAATTGGGATCATTGTATGCCGGTTGTTTTGCTTCTCCATTGATATATTTCTCCTTACGCTTCCCACGGAGATACATCAATACACTCTGGGACCATTGGAGATAGTTGCTGCCATTTAGTTTGTGAGCCACCATCATAGGTTGCTGTTCAGTGGCGGTTGTCAAATCTGGCATCGGATCAGAAGTTTTAGAGGGGGCTACTGGTGAAGGAGTACCTTGAGTATTTGAGGATGTGCCAGACGTAAAAGCCATTGGAATGGTGCCTTCTGTGACAGGCATATTGCGAACAGACCCAAAAAGTGGTAGAAAGTCTGATGGATTCATCTTCTGGACGAAGTACTGTACTGGGGTGGTTCTGGCGACGGCGCGTGGGCTTCACGCGCGGCGGTTTGTGACGGCGCGTGGGATTCACGCGCAGAGGCTTGAGATGGCGCGTGAGCTTCACGCGTTGCTCCGTTGGACGCCGGCTTCTGGGGACGCGCCGATCGGAGGATTCCGGTGAGGATTGGAGGGGTGGTGTCGGTCACGTCCTTCTCTGGCCTCCAGATCTGAGGACGCCGGCGTTTCTCTCTCTCCCTCACTCTCTCTCCTCGCTCTCTCTGTTTACAGTAAGGGTTCAGGACGGATCCAACCCCATTGCTCTGATACCATGTCTAAATTCTGAATATTTCACTCCATTGTATTATTCCATATGAGATGATTACAATATATATAGGGTCCGGATAGTGATAATAATCCGGTTAGAATCATTCAGCAATAACTACAATTAATGACAGCATACAATCAGGGATATTATTCTCATGCATAATGATAGGCGGGTATCATGGGCTTTCTAACAAGAAAGAATAAGCAATTGATAGCATCACAAAATTAAATAATATTTACAAAAGAAGAAACTTCCAAGTCAAGTTTACTCAGAGTCATGTAACCTCTTGCAAACTTATGTCAGATGGCAAATTGCCTGAGTCATGTAACCTCTTAAGCTTATCACTTACACATCTCTAAAAGTTTCTGACGGGCATGAAAATGAAAGTTAAATTAAAAAATAAAAAAAAATTGATAAACTGAACCACAACAAGGCCAGTCTTCCAATGAACAAGCATTTATCTTGATAAATATATTTGCTGCATGCATTGGAGAAGATAAGAAATAGCAGATTTCAGCCTTACTGATAATATGTTGTCAATTTCATTTTGTACTCTCCAGTTCAAACAATCGACCAGCTGAAACATAACATAAAATATGTTACAAATAGAATCTTAACCATTTCACAACATACGAGGTAGCAAAAGGCAAAAGGTGCTCTCAAGGTGTTAGACATTTAAAACACCTTGGCCAAAAGGAACTAGAAAGACAAACACCTGAGGGAAGTAAGGCGCTGATGAAGTAAAAGGGATGTGAAATTCAAATAACATTTGCCATATGAATTATCTATTGAAACACAATATGTCAAGTCATAAGACATAATAATCATTAATTCATAACTCATAATAATATTAAGTGCCTCCTAAAATCACTACTTAAGTAATATGTCAAAGTATAAAGTTAGTTAACTTTACCACTCCAAAAATGCTTGTGGTTGTGGTCTCATGTGGGTGCATTTTTTTTTAAAAAAAAAATTGTGTTGGTTTACAAAATCCCATACGGATAATAGAAACTCTATTATAGCCATTTATGTACATTCAATGTACTTTACGTATAGAGGAATATATAGAATTGAACATAGTAAGATAAGAAATTGAAAGATTTCATTGAAATTGTTCATTTGGAAATTTCCTGAAAAGCTAATCATAGGTTCTCTCCATCAGAACAATAGGGCTGTTATGCTCATTACTAAACTTATTGAGCTGATAGCATATATAACATTTCAAAATTAGAATACCTATTTTATCTTATTCTTTCTAAGGCGGGGTTGGACTTGCTAATATTGGGTTTCTTAGTTTCTTATTTTATCCATCAAAACCATTTTTAACCATTAATTGTTAAGTTTGCTCAAAGTATGGGTATCTACAACTATGGAAATAGGCACATAATTTGGTAATACTACAATTTTTAAACTATCATTAGATAAAATGATTTCCTTTATTTATGACATTTTGTACTTTTGTAATTGTTCCAAAATAGAATATAAAATTAATTAACTTCAAATAACGCCTCATGTAAGTGCCTTTTACTACCAAACATAACGTAATTGGATAACATATCTCCAAAACATACAATAAAAAGAAAGCTTGATACACGCACACACCATTTTGTGGGCCTTTGAAACATGCCACTCCCTTGCTTTTAGAAACCGCACCAATGTTTCAGTGATATATCCTTGATGAACATGCTGCAAATTACAGCAGTTAAAAATGAGAGGAAGAGTAAGAAGAATGACGACTACTGTTCAGAATGTTGTAAAGAGATCAGGCATGATCCATAAGGATGGAGCTGACAGAAAATATGTATGAAGAAACAAGTACAGCAAACTTTCAATGATCAGCACTGACAGTAGACATGAAACTTTATGCTTCATCCCACAAATCATTAAATTTGAACCCTAGCAACATTAAACTGATATTTAAGTTCTTCAAATGCCTGTCTTTTCAATTTATACATTTTAATATAAACGACCCCATCAAATCACAATGGAGGAAAAATGTTTTCATTGAAATTTTTAGAAAAATGTTTTCTAGTCAAATTACTTGTTCTTAGCTACTTGTCAAATGTTGGATGATGATACAGAGATCCCCATATTTCATTAAATTCCATATCCCCGGATTTTATTACATGAGTCTGAACACTGAGCATACTTAAGACAAATTGGGGAACATTAGAAAAGATTATATACTAAAATCATTTTAATTGAGTAGAAGATACACCTAGAAATTTTCCATATTGAACTTTGCACCTCAAAACAGATCTTATTTATGGATCCTAGAAAATCACCATCACATCACGTGCCAAATATCCAGGACATGAAGAGCCGTCTAGGCAAGCACACATTAGTCAAATAAAACAATTTTGACACGCCAATTACAAGAATTCAAGGACCATAAAGAACAGAATCCGCTAGACTGCACTTATGGAAGACACAGATCAGCCATAGGTACTGAGGAATAAACTCAAGCGTGACTCGCTAAAGAATAATAAGCAAGAACATAAACACAGTAAACCAGATAATTACAGTTGAAATTTGTCTAGGCGCGCTAAAACCAGGTCAGATTGAGTAATGAGAAAGAAAAAAAGCGCGAACCTGAAATGTCGCCCGCAATGGCTCACTAACTAGCAATATTCAAAATTGAACCCAGAAGCAAAACAAGAGAAGAGCACTAATCAGAAACAGAGGAGAGAAAACTAGCAAGCATTAGATAGATCCAAGCAATTAAGTGGAAGAGGACCTTGATCCACCAATGCTCGTAGCTGGTCGACGGCATCCTGGGAATCGACTCCCATGTTCTTCAACCTCCTGAAAAATCAGAACTTCTGGGGATATAAATTGTAACACAAAACCACCAAATTCGAGTACTTTTTTCCCTTCAGGTTCAGTTTCTGTATCGACAATGTTTTTCCGTCAGTATTACTCAAAAGGAAAATTTGGTAAAGACATGCCACACAACCAAAAGAGAGACTAAATAGACTGTGAAGTCCTGTGAGAGAGAGAAAAGAGAGAGAGGTCAAGATTCAAGAAAGGCGGACATACGTATGCAAATCCCACCTTCACTTCCCACCTACGAATGAGAGCAATCCGCCATTACATCTCTCCTTTCTTCCTTGTGTTCAAATTAATTTTTTATAATATATTTAAATCGGCGGCATGCATATCAAAATCAATTATTACTCGTTATAGCGATGTAATGTGGTGGTATTAATTTATACAAATTCTAGGCGAGGAAAACGCTTTTTTCATACAATTATCCACTACTAATATTATTCATCAATTTCAAGCTTTTTTGACTTGATTACGAGTAATTTTCTAAAGTTCGAATTTTTAATCTTATTCAATGGAAATTCTATACCTCTCCACCCGATTCAACCTTTTCTCGGATCTGGGGTGGAGATAAAAGTGGATGAAGGGAAAAAAAAACTAGAAGTGAAAATTAAGGAAAAAAGTTCATTTTTCAGTGTTTGGATAAAAAAAGAAAGGGGGGAGAAAAAATAACATGTGAGACCTACATATTTTCTTTTGATAAAGAGACCTACATACTACCTCCGATCCTTAATATAAGACCCTATTTGACTTTTATTTTGGTCCTAAATATAATACCTCAATCCACTTTATCTCTCATATTTATTTGATTTTTTCCAAGATAGTCCCTCTAATAATTATAATTCTAGTTAATACACTTGATTAGTAAGGATATTTTAAGAAAGACAGCACTTATTTAGGACAAATAACTAACTCAACTTATTTATTTAATCTTCTCAAATTAATCAACTGATTCTTATAATTAGGACCGGAGGTAGTATTTTCTCGTCAACTTTTTTCCTCAAAAACACGGAGATTTGGAGAGAAAACTCTTATTCCCGATTTATCTATCAATTTCTTTTCATTTTCCTTTACATTTTTTGAGATAGTTCTTAAAGTAATATTAAATATTTTCAATTTTATAATTTATTAAAAATTTTGAAATCAAAAATTACTTCTCTTTTCTTTTTCTTTTTGTTCCTTCCCTCTAATTTTCTCTTGTCAACCAAGCATTACGTTAATTTTTTTTTTTAAAAAAAAAAAGTTTAGTTATCTGAACGTGGATTACAAGCAAATTTTTATGGAGAAATTACAAATAAGACCCCCAGATATGTAAAATTACAATTGGGACTCTGAATTTGAAAACTAACAAATAAAGACCCGGTCTCACTTTTGCAAATATGAAATGTGAGTAAAATGTCTGAAATGCCTCTCAATCAAATAACAAGTTGACTATCAGAAATGACAAATTCACTTTAGTAAATGACAATTTCAGTAGACTAAATGACAACTTGGCTGAGGGTGCGCCAAATGACGAGTTGACTATGAGAAATGACAAGTTTACTTTAGCAAATGACAACTTCATTAAACCAAATCACAATTTGACTGAGGGACATTTCAAACATTTCACCCATATTTCATATTTACAAAAGTGGACTAGATCCTTATTTGCTATTTTCCAAATTCAGAGTCCGAAATCATAATTTTACATATTCGGGGTCTTTATTTGCAATTTCCTCAATTTTTATTTTATATAAGAAGAACATAAAAAAATGGGAATTTCAATGTTCAAATGATGATCTAATGAGCAAGTCAATCCGGTGATTTGTTATTATTATTATGTTTTTTTTATTTTACCCCGTGTCTAGGGATTCATCCACCAACGGGTTAAGAATTTTGAGCATCAAAATATCATATTTGAATGGTTTTATAAAATATTAATTTTCAACTATTTAAGAAAAACAAATAAGGAGAGGACCCAAGTCCTAAAATATTGAGTTTCCATAGTATAAAAAAAAATAAAAAAGAAGATGATGATGAAATAAGAAAGACCATCGGAATTAATTTTAACAAAAAGAACTAATCCTTTTTAATGTGACAAATTAAATACCTATTGAAAGATGTGCTCGTATTTAATGCTTTATAGTGTCTCAAAAAATAAGATTGTTTTCAATAAAAAGAGACATATATCTAACAAAAATAACAGAAATAGAAAAGGAAAAAAAATTAAGATAAAGTCTTACTTAGGATAAAGTCTATTGAAGAATAAAAATCTCTAAAGATATCAACTTTTCTTTTTTGGTAAAACTAGCTAAAGATATGAACTTCCTTCAAACTTTAAATCTATTCTTGACTCATTCTTATTATATAAATTCGATACAATATCTTATAATCAATCTCCTTAAATAACTATGTGTTGGCGTAATAATTAGATTTCCCTTCTGTTTATCAACACATTTGGAAATAACAACTAGCCAATTAATATAAGGAAGAATCCCAATTATATCCATTTAAAATACTAAAATTTAAATTAAGACCTATACTTTTAACAAATTCCTAATAAGCTAAAAGGCCTAATGAGAGATTTTTGAATTTGATTAAAAGATCAAAATACCCCTTTATAGTTAAAAAAAAATTAGAGGTAGATGTAAGCCTGATTTTGGTCTTTTTTTAGTTTATTTTATATTTTTATTTTTTAAAAAATGTATTTAATACCTATATTTAATGTATAATACAAGATACTTTTTTAAAAAAATGTACTATTTATCTATATATAAAGTTATTTACATTTAACTATATACATAACTTAATCACAACAAATATTTTTGTTTTATCGTTTCTTTTTTTTTAAAATAATTATATATATAGATAAATATTTATTTCATGTATATTACTTCTCATTGAAAATGAATGTGCACTAATGAATTTCAGCCACAGGCGCGGTACCATTCCATAACTCCTTTCAATTAAAAGTGATTTTGAGATTTATGAATTATTATTCTATTTTTGTTCATTTTGATTCTCTAATACATAATAGATATTTTAATAATTTTTTTGATATTTTACCAAAAATTAAAAAATAAAATATAAAAAAATACTTTTTCAGCATTCGATTTAGAACTTTTCAATAGTGTGTTTTTAAGCTTGTTTTATATCTTTATTTCGAAGGTTGAGTTTTTAAAAAATAAATTTATATTATGTATTAAATGTACATGGATAAATATTTATTTGTTTAGAAAAACACAAAGCAAGGACACAAAACAAAATAAAAATAAAAGAAATATTAATTAAATCTAGACGAAATAATTAAAACAAAAATTAGGCATACACTTTAAGGTTTTTTTGTCAGCTAAGAGGGATATATTAGTCTTTTAACAATATTCACAAATATCTAATTATCCCTCTTGACTTAATTAGGAACTTGTTAATTAAAAGTGTAGGTCTGAATTAGAATTTTGATATTTTAGTTGGATTTAATTGAGATTCTCCCTTAATATAATTTGATAATCCGAAGTATAAATTTGGCTTCTTTTGGTTTGTCAGGTATTGGGATTTTTGAATTAAAAACGTTGAATTGAAATCATTTAAATTAAAAAAAGTAACTGTTCTCATTTTTTGGTTAAAAATTTTTTTCTCTATGAATTTCTATGAAAATTGTAAAGAGATGAAAAAATTATATATAAAAAGATTTTGCAATTTAAATTTTTCAATAAGTATATTTTATGAGGTCAAAAAACCCAGTGTATTTTCTGACGAATACTTAATCTTATCACTTTGCTCAATCACAAGCTTCATCATTAATTTTTATCATTAATATTACTGGTGAATATTATTTTTTAACTTATGGAAACTGCATTGGGTTAGATTAATAAATAAGTGTAATTAATCTGGGAATTATATAGATAAAAATTATGAAATAAGACAAATTATATATACTACTTTTATAATAATTTGATAACATATTCGTATGAATTTTTTTAAAAAAAAAGTAGATTGAAATAAAATAATTTAAGGGTGGTCGCTGATCGCTATCATGCTACTGAAAGCATGAATCACCCATTCAGCAAAGGTTCCACCTTTTTTTTAAATCGATTTTATACCGTCGCATTTGGCTTTATTTGTTTAATTTCTTTATCGGAAAAAGGATACTTATCGGTTCAGTGCACCGCCCATAACTAGAAATCCTTCATTTTCAGTTTCATCCGAATACGTTATTCATGGTGACAAGATCTTCATGGTCCACATACAATGTTTCAAAAAATAAATTCTAGTATTTATTTATTTACAGGATAAAGGTCAAATTTGCCCTGAAAGTTCTCAGTTAGGAGTATTGAATATCTTAAAGCTTTTTCAAGAGCGATGTCATCCCAGAAGTTTGAAAAATGTAGCAACCCTAAGTGAATGGAGACCAAATGTTGACAGTTAGAGGAACATATTCATGTTGAAAATAACATATTGGCAAGGAATGAGGAAAACACATGCGTCAAAGGTGTTTTTCTGGCAAGTGATATGGAATTAGCGAGAGTTAAGGGAAAAGAAGGAAAATTGATGACATAGAGAAGGAGGCAAAATCCCTGGACAGAGGTGGTGAGTTAGGGCACTATGAAAGTAGGACGCATGTGATCTCTGAGTCACATACACATTTAGAGAAGAGGAGAGAACAGAGAATCATCCAGATCGAAGAGGTAAGAAATCTTAGATTTTGTGGAATTTGTTGATTTTCTTTATGCATGGTGATTTCTTTAATCTTTATGGTCATGTTTGTCTCTATCTATTTGGTAAAGTAGGTTATTGGTTTGGATTAATTAATATGGGTTTGGGTGATACGGCATCACATTGGAGTGGTGGTCACGAGGGCGGTTCTTCAGGGGAACCAGAGGGTGGGTCTAATGGGGATCCAGTGGGTGGTTGGGGGAACATTATGGGATTTTGATAGTTTACTGAAGAGAGTTAGAGAAAGTAGACAAAGTGTATTGGGTGGTCATGATGGCATTAGTGATTCTGTGTTGGGTTCAAATTCAACATGTGGGTTAAGAGAGGAAGACATTGCAAAGATTCAGAGAAAAGTAGGGATTGGGTGTCATAATTTGGTTGAGGAACATGAGAAAGATGATGATGCAGAGAAAGAGATTGAGATACATGTTTCAGAATATTGGACAAGGAGAAATGCTTTAGATAAGGTGAAAGTTGAC